TCTCTCTCTCTCTCTCTCTCTCTCTCTCTCTCTCTCTCTCTCTCTCTTAATTATTTTATTCAAGATTGTGAATGATGGCTTAGAATAGTGTTTGTGGTCAGTTAGAGATTTGTGGTTTTAAAAACAGATAATGTCTACACTGCCTGGGGCTCAAGGTGTCCATCCTTCTGGCTGAGTCTCACATGCTAGAGATATATAGAGTCAGTCTTCATTGTAGTCTTAGCTTTTGCTTTTGTGGTCTCCTAAATTATTTTTACCACTTATGAGTAAGGGAACTGAGGCTTCACAGGAGTTTTGATGAAGATCATCATTGGTCTTTTCCTCGAAGACTCAGTTTAACCTACTGACTTTAGCACCAGATAAAGCCCAGTACAGGACTAACAGTCCCTGAAGTCGGCCTCAACCTGGGAGTGAAATAGCTACAATTTAAAATTGTGCTTAAATGGGAGATGAATCAGTAAATACTTTGTGGAACATTTAATCACAATTTAGTAAGTCTGTATTCCATACTACAAACTTAGGTAGTAATTACTATTGTAGGCGGAGTTTTTCGTCAGGACCGCAGGCTCTCAAATAACCACACAGAGACTTATTATTAATTATAAATGCTTGGCTGATAGCTTAGACTTGTCTCAGCCAGATCTTACAATCTAAATTCATCCATTCCTGTTCATCTATGTGCTGCCCTAAGGCTCATTTACCTCATCTATGAACTTGCTGTTGTTGCTTCTTCCTCGTGGCCCACAACATGCCTCCCTGACTCCGCACCCTCTTCTTCCCAGCATTCTCTCTGCCCCCAAAATCCTGACTTTCTCTTGGCCAATCAGCTTTTGAGAGCAATGAGAGCAACACATCTTCACAGTGTACAGAAGAATTATTCCACAGCATACTACAAACCGTCGAAGAATCTCTGAGCATTTTGTGGGCTACAGAAACACAAGTAGACTTGTTTTCTGGATGAACGTGTGCTGTGCACTTGTGTGATGTCCACCTGTGCGAGAATACTTTAGTCCAGTTTCTCTTTTCCTTCTAAATATTCCTTTGCTTTTCTGAAATCCTGTTTCAGAAAGTTGACAATTTAGTCTGGACTCTGTAGCATTGTGTTGATAAGGATGATACTTCTTACTCAGTTTTGAACATGCTGTACCAACTCAATCTCTGCCTTACGGAACACACAGCAGCTACTAGAAATAGAGCTTGCTTTGCCCCAATCACTCAAGCAAACACTAATTTACTGTCTCTTTGGAGTTTTCTCTTCTGCACATCTCACATAAATAGGATTTTATAATTGACATGTAGCTTCATGGCTTCAGGGTTCATCTGTAGGGTAGCATACACTAGTACTTTCTTGTTACGGAATAATCCTAAATGGATAGACCACATCTTGTCTCTCTATCAGTTGATGCACATTGGAGTTTTTCTACTTTTGGCTCTTGTGAGGGTTGCTGCTATTCACATCTGCCTACAAATCTTTGTATGAGCATAACCCCATTCCTCTGGGGCTCATACCTCTGATAAGCAATTTTCTAATAAAGGCATTAAAATCCTGCAAAGCAGGTTGAGCTCTCTTATGTGTTCACCCTCAGGCTAGGTTTGCTGTTGAATAAGATTGAATGTGTGTAGCCTAAGTACAATGAGAATAAATAAAAGTAATCGGAAGCCTTTAACTGGGTTTCCCTGTGTATGTTCTAATAGGGGAATGAAGTAAAAAAGAACAAATTACATAAAAGCAACCTCCAAAGTTCGCTCTTACTGGAAGCAGATTCTGTAAATAATTCCTTTTGGATTTCCTCCAAGGTAGAAGCACAGGGGAAGGCATTGTTTGGAGCATGGCAGTGGGCTGAAAATTTTCACCTTGGGGATTATACACTGAAAATAACGGATGTCCTTTTCATCAAGTTGAAACATAACTTGTTTAAACATCCTTTTACTTACATATGACCCAGAGTGCTTCTCAGTGTCTGGGGCCAGGTGTCCTTGAACTCTCTTTGTGAGATAGCACAAACCTTAAATTCCACATTTAGTTATTTTATTCTTGTTAGGTGCAAGGCACAAATTAGTGATCAGGACATGTGCCCCAAATCACCACCCCAGCTGCTATAGACAGGGGTTGGTGACACCCTTGAGCCTTGGTACTGAGGCCCAGGAGTGGTTGTATGCCCTGCCTCAGCTGATATAGTCTGCATGGGCATCCACCACACTTGTATCATGCTAGGTGATGAGCAGCTTCTAGTCTTTATGGTGACACACTTGTAATTTAGTGCTTGTTCCTAGTAACCTTCTTTGTTGGTTTTTCAGGACTGCAGGAATATGTGGAGGCTGTCTCTTTTCAACACTTCATCAAAACTCGTTCATTAATCAGTGTGGAAGAGATTAACAAGCAGTTGACATTTACAACAGAAGACAGTGGGAAAGAAAGCAAGACTGTGAGAATTTAAAGTCATGTTTCATTTTATTCTATTATTACATAATTTATACAGCAGCATAGTGATTGGCTTCCTGAAGCCTGGTTTGCTAGGTCTCACCAGGGAAGTGCTATCTTAAGTGTCTCCACTGCTGACAGAACAAGAGAGACATGGCTTCAGGGAGTCAGAAACTCAGCACATGCAGCAGGGTGTTTAGAATCCAGGCTGTGCTCTCGAAGTCCTTTGTGAGCGCTATGTGCGGGGACCCCTGGTGTGTGCACCTACCTCAAAGGGCTTTTTGAAAGAGTTTAATGTACAAAGGTTTTTTAACTAAGCAGTGTTTATACTTAGCAGTAGTTCATTGTTATAAAGTAGTTGTCACATGGTGAGGGCCGTTTATTGCTTACTCAACCTACCATATGCCTACAGACATTGCCTAGCTCTTCTGAATGCAGAAAAGGAAAACTTCTTCATTTTGACTTTTAAAAAGTACTTCTTTCTCCTTTGGGATTTGAACATACAATATTCAGGCAACCAAATGGGCCTTTTGATCTCTCCTGTCAGATACATTAAGATAAAAAGTATTTTTCCATTCTTCTTTTCCCCTTTTATTAATTTTTAAAAATACCACTCAGAATCAGGATAGGTAGACAAAGAAACTGTTAGAAGTCAAGATTTCTTGAATATGAAATAAAATATTAGAATACAAAATAAGCTTGACTTGTCATGACAGAAAACACTTACTCTAATGAATCCATGTGTTTTCTCTGCTTTTGAGTTGTACTTGTCTTTGTTAAGGAGGAGACTGACTGAGAAGCAAGAGGCATTTATGGCTTTGATTCATTCACCTGGTCAGGATGGAATGCAGTGAGGAATGGGACCAACGGTTCTGCTTCATGAGAGCAGTCTCCTTTCTACTTTTACTGGAGAGAGACCGTGGGGAAAAGACAGGTGGAGCATGGGGGCTCCTTCAGGCTTTTGAGAGTATGACCTGATACACTTCTCACAGAAGCTGAGCCTGCCTTCGCAAATAACTTTCTCTTTAGCACTGGTTTCCTGGTGCTGGGCATTCTAAGAATTTTATGAAGAAAGAAAATTTCCTTTTAACTTGGCTTGTGAGGATATTGTCAAAATCATTTTTAAGAAAATTACCATGACAGATTTCAGACATGCAGAAAAGTAGAGGGAACCATAATCATTTGTCAGCCCATGCAGCAGGACCTGAATAAATGACCAGGAGGTCACATTTTGCTGTAGTTGCGTTGTCCAACTAGTTCTGGCTAAACTATTTGAAAGTACATAGTGATGTCATAATCTCATTAAATACTCAAGTAAAATTGAAAAATTTTACTTTAAGCAATTTTTTCCTTACTAGTAGTTTTCAGGAAGCAGAATTTATTTTGACAAATTTTCTTTAAATTTGTTTACTTTTTTTTTTTTAAAAATTTATTTATTTATTTATTATAAAGTGTAATGTCTGCATGTATCCTTGCAGGCCAGAAGAGGGCACCAGATCTCCTTACAGATGGTTGAGAGCCACCATGTGGTTGCTGGGAATTGAACTCAGGACCTCTGGGAGAACAGCCAGTGTTCTTAACCGCTGAGCCATCTCTCCAGCCCAAATTTGTTAAACATGCCTATTTCTCTAAAATCAACTTATAGCTATGACCCCTCCTGTGTAATAACAAAGACCTTTTATTTTCTGAAATATATTCTTCTAAGTGGCATGTGAAATGCACTCCTCTTCAATCTACTACAACCTACTGTTTTCCTAAAACAAACAAACAAATAAATACCAGTCTCAGCTTACAAAATCCCCAGATACCGTCACGATGTGCTTTCAAAAGCATCCGAATGGCTGGGAAGCAGGCTTGGGTGCTCCCTCTTCCTGTCACTAACCAGTGACCACCCCTGCTGTGCTGCAGTCCTTGTGTCTTATGTTCTGTCATGGACCATTGGGCCACAAGGTCTCTCTGAAGACTCTGAGTGGGATTAAGATATATGCACAGCAATCAAAGTAATAGTGAAAGTTCACTCTGCCACTTCCTTACTTAATTCTCAGAGACCTCACAACCTGGATAAAGTCCCAATTCCTTAGTACAGTGTCCTGTCCGTTCGTGTCTCTAGTCTCAATCTATACTACTCTTGAACTTCACTTAAAATGAGTACTTCCTTAGTTCCTCAGATACAGCACGGTTCTTTCCTGTGTGCCTTTGCAGACCCACTGCCCAGAATGCACTTACAGCTTCACCTAGCTGCATTCCATATACACTGGTTACAATTTAGGTGTCACTTCTAGAAAGAAACTCACGGGGAGAGACGCACATGATGGTGGTGGTGATGATAGCAGCTAACATTTATGGAGTGTTTTCTTGGGTTGCACATCATGCCAAGAATTTACTGAATATTGTCTTATTTAATCCATAAAAGACTTCTGAGGTAGGCAACGTAATCCTGTTTACACAGGAGGGAAGTTGAGGTTTAGAGAGATGAAAAAACTTGCCAAGAGGCAGTATCTTATGAAGCAAAGTCCTGGAAGAGGTGGGAGGAGATGAGTCAAGGTCATCTGGAAGTTAAGTTCACATAAGAGAAGAGAGAACGTGTCGTTTGAGACTGGAGGATAGAAGGTGAAGGTGGATGTGGCTGTAATATAGATAAGGATGTTTTGGTAGTAAGAAAGGTAATTGAGAGACAGTGAGGCGATTGGCGGATGACTAGGTCTGCCAAGTTCGGCTCCATTGTTTACTGGACCTGAAGAGTTTGGGGACTGAATAGGGCACAGAAGAGAGTACCAGCGACTTGGAATAGTATATGAAGAGGCTGCACAGAAAGGCATATAGGAAAGAACCATGCTGTGTTTGAGGATGGGCCTGGAAAGATGGAGCAGGCTGCCTTTTCAAAGGACTTGGTTCAGTTCCCAGCACCCACATGGAGGCTCACAACCATCTGTAACTCCAGTTCCAGGGGGACCTGATGCCTTCTTCTGGCCTCTGAAGGCTCCAGGCATGAACCTGGTACACAGACATGCTTGAAGGCAAAACACCCATACACTAATTAAGAGAACTACTGAAGAATAACTAAAGGGATTGGTGAGTAACTTGCAGTAGTTCAGACTCTACAGTTTGTAGATGTGATTACTGTTTCTAAACTCACTTGTACTTGGCTGCTTAGTGTAGGGCTGACATGGAGATCTCAGCACTGATTCAAGATTCTGATTTGCTGGACATGAGTAGTAGGAGATGGAGGCACTGGCAGGAACTGGGTACAGTTGCAGACTGATGGGCAGTGCAGAATGGGGAAGAAGAAGTCAGCTGAAGACGAGGGAAGCTGGTCTGAAGGAGGGGGTCATAATTGCTAGGAATCGTCACACAGTGACATCAAGTCGGCCTTGTTAGCATGTGTCTACTGTGCTTGTCAAGTGCAGTTGGACACAGTTGGTTTTACAGTGGTGGTATTTGATCATTCTGATATGTCCAAGCTCCTGCTCAGCTCCTTACCCAGTTCATGGTTGGATTCCTTGCTCCTGCCATATAGTTAACACATAGAGAAGATCAGTGTGCCTGACTTGCTATTGCTTTCATACTTTGTGGTTGTGATGCCTGATGTATTCTCTTGATCACAGTGTTTGTGTGTGGCTTTCTTTTTTGTCTTTTACCAGCCCCCCTCTGATGGACAAGATAAGCAGCTTGTTACCTGGAGACTGAAAATCACACCTGTTGATTACCTGCTGGGAGTGGCCGACTTAACTGGAGAACTGATGCGGATGTGTATTAACAGCGTGGGGAATGGGGACATTGACACCCCCTTTGAAGTGAGCCAGTTTTTACGCCAGGTTTACGATGGGTTTTCTTTCATTGGCAACACTGGGCCCTATGAGGTTTCTAAGAAGCTGTACACCTTGAAACAGAGTCTGGCCAAAGTGGAGAACGCTTGTTACGCCCTCAAAGTCCGGGGTTCAGAGATTCCCAAACACATGCTGGCAGATGTATTTTCAGTTAAAACAGAGATGATTGATCAGGAAGAGAGCATTTCTTAAGCAACTGCGCTCTGCTCTCTAAGGAGCTCCTGGGAGACCAATTGGTGAGACTGTTCTGAGTGTGCATTTGACTTTATTGTGGCTTTTGTAGATGTTTCTAGTTGTACTAGTTTGAAGTCGTATACAGCTGTATATAAGTTTGTCCACAGGAACATTTCTTAATTCACGAGCATTTGCATACAGTGTTTGCAGATGTGCTTATTCCTGGTGTTTGCTTTATTGTTATGTGAACATGCTTCCGGTTGCACTTTCTGCCACACCTACTTTAATTCACTTTGAACTTGGAGTGATATATTTTCAGTGGATGGAAGCCTCTTAAGTGGGTGATTGTGCATATAGAGAAAAAAATGTAGTGGAACTTCTGAAGTGAGCTTCCTGTTTTAAGTTTCTTGGCAGTATCGTGGCAAGCCTTTAAAATAGGCTAAATATGTGGAACAAGATTTGAACAATGTAAGCTGTCAGTATTTTTTTAAGTACAAGTTTTGGTGGTATTATAATGAGAATTCATGCAAAATTTTGGCCAAGTTCAGGCCATTTTGAATTTATACAAAATAGCTTCCTAGAAATGGATATCCACTTAGTTTTTCCCTTCATCACAGATGTGAGGAATTGGAGCTGACATTGTTGTTTTTCACTGGTGACACTTAGTAACTATACATTGTCCCTAGTTGTGAGCAGGTAGGCCCGTTGTCATGGTGTTAGGTGTGGTGGGCTTTTCTAGTCCAGCAGCTCTTAGAAGTCACAGTAGAACAGCGTCAGTGGTGGAATGCTGACAACCCAAACCTTTATATTGTCCCTTGGTGTTAGCCAATAATGTTGCCAAAGAAAATGAATTATGTATAATTCAGCAATAAGACAATTGCCAACACAGAGGAGGGAGCATTGGTAGTCACTAGCAGCCAGAGGTTTGGAGTTCGCCTACCCCGTCAGTCAGAGCCCATCTGTGGTGTGAAACTGGCTTGAGCATGACCTGCCAGCTGACGTCACCACATGCTTTCAACTAGTTTGTGAGTTTTCAGAACTTAGATACTGGGTTTTATTTTTGGAAAGAGTATCTATTTGTAAGGGCTGGTTCTTTGAAAGTGTAATTTTTCCAAAAATGATTACTGAAAGGAAAATAAAATGTATACATGCCTGATAAGTTAGATTTGTTTGTCTTGGTGATGGTGGGGCTTTGTTTCCCTGCTCAGTTATAGTCAGTCCCATTACCTAGTTTTTTTGTTTGTTTTTTTCAACTACTTCAAGTTGAATTTATAAGGTTAAAATAATGGATTTGAAGAATGTTTTACAGATATTTAAAACAAATTTTGAATAAAATACTAAAATACAGAAGCTCGTTGGTTTAACTTTTTAAAAAAGATGACATTAGTTATTGTGCCACAGCATGTGTGTGAGGTCAGAGGACAGCTTGTGGAGGTTGGTTCTCTCCTGAGCTGGAGACCCACTCAGGGTGTCAGACTTGGTGATTAGAACCTTTTCTATTCCTGCTAACCTACATCTCTCTGGCTCAAGAATCTGTTGTTTTGATAGCATTGAGAATTACTTAGTAAATCTAATCATGTAATTTCAGGATAAAATGGGAAACCTAGATAGACTAGGTTACTAAGTATGGAGGCTTGTTTTTTCTTAAAACAAATCCCAAGATAAGGAGGCTTCCAAGTGGTTTGCCTCAACCTGAAATATAGTCAGGGACTTCCCTTCTGCTTTCTGTGGTCTCCATTCTCCGCTCAGTTGGCTCTCTTGTGGTTAGTGGCTAGGTTTTCAGGCATGGTGGGAATACTTTAGCAGCAGCAGACTTCCTTGTGTTCTCTAAGGTTAAAAATAAGTTCCATATACTCTCAAGAAGACATCCTTCATAGCACTCTGACTCAGGCTAGATGGTGTCCCTGGCCCACTAAGCTGGTTCTGGGAAGGAAAGAGAACACTAGCCTAGCACACCGACTGAGGAGCAGGGAGAGGGCCTTTGGTATAGTCGGCAGCGCCTCCTGCAGGTGACGGGGCGCCAGTGCTCCTGACGCATTCTTGGTTGGTGCAGTGGGTTTGGGGGGCTCAGTTTAAATTGTGTAATTACAGCATCATCTGTTCTGGTGGCTCCTCTATTTATTACAAAAAGGAACTGTTTCTAGGGGCTGGTGAGGTGACTCAGTTGGTAAAGGTGTTTGCCACCAAACCTGACAACCTGCATTCGATCCCTGAAACACACATGTGAAAGGAGAAGAACGGGCCACATGTCCCCTCCCCCCTGCAAACAACATAAATACAAACGTAATAAAAAAATTAGAAGAAGGAACTGAGTCAAGGTCCCATGGAAAGTTGGTGACAGAATTTTGGAATGAAAGTGGAATATTTCTTTTCAAGTGTCATTTCCTGTGTCTAGTAAATGAGTGGTTATCACAAAGAACCCCGGGGCTTTGGTCACCCTCAAAGACTGATACTTAAGTGAGGGATTGCAGACTGGCTCCAAGCTCTATACTGTCTGCAGAGACTCATGTAAGTAGATGGAGGTGGGAGGGTAGAAAAGACACTCCATGCACATGGCACCCAAAAGAGGGTCTGTGAAAGAGCAGCATTGTATGGTAATTCAGTCCAATAAGCATATGGAGTAGCTGAAAAGGGAGCTGCTAAGGAGTGTTGTCTGCGTGTGTGTGGGTGTGTGGGTGCAGGTGCTTATTTGCATGTGTATACGTGTGTGTGGAGGCCAGAGGTCTCTGTGGAGCGTGTTTTTCAGTTACTTCACCCCCACCCCCACCCCAGGACCGAGTTTCTCTGTGTAGCCCTCGCTGTCCTGGAACTTGCTCTGTAGACCAGGCTGGCCTGCCTCTACCTCCTGAGTGCTGGGATTAAAAGTGTACTCCACCATATCCAGCACACTTTAATTTTTTTTAAATCTATTTGTTTTGTGTGTATGGAAGTTTTGCCTGCATGTATGTCTGTGCACCGCATGCACACCTGATGCCCAGGTAGGCCGAAAGAGGACTTTGGATCCCCTGGGACTAGAGTTACAAACAGTTGTAAGCTGCCATGTATGTGCTGGGGTTGAACCCAGGTCCTCTGGAAGAAGAGCACTGAGACATCTTTCCAGCCCCTTCCACCTTATGTTTTGAGACAATCCGTCACTGAACTGGAAGCTTACTGGTTGAGCTAGCAAGCCCTGGGAATCCACCTGCCTCCACTTCTCCAGTTTTAAGGTTATAGACACCTACCAGACATTTATCACCATTCCCAGCTTTTACATGGCTGCTGGGGAGCAGCATGTGCTTTGTAGCTGAGCCATCTCTCAGCCCTTCCATTTTTTGATTGTAAATTTTGCTAAATTATACATACATATATATGTATGTGTATGTGTAAATATATTTATATTTTAGGATCAATCCATTTTATTTCAGTTTTCAAATTTTTTAGTTAATAGTGTCAGTCTTTTTTATTCATTATATGTCATATATATGAATATATTTCATTCTCATATATAGAAAATTTTGGAAAGTTGCCCATGCTGGCCTATATACTCTGATACTCTAGGCTGTTTTCAAACTCATGATCCTCTTGCCTTAGCCTCCAAATGCTGAGATTGTACATGCACACCACCACTCCCAGTCTTAAATTTTTAAAAGACAATACAAATCCCATTGAGCAAGTGTTCCCTGTTGTGCCCCTTGTTCCCCTTTTTACATAGAATCACTGGTTTTAATTTGGAAATTAGAAACTGGTTTTCCTCTGTACACAGGGTCTGTGTTTCAGGAGAAATGTATTTTGCAGTTCAGTTACCATTGTGCGTCGACCAGGGACAAATGTTTGTACAGGGTCCCGTAAAATAACATCCCTACTGGCATCATCTGGTGTCTAAGCAGATTGTTTACATAACAACAACACTGCCAGATGACGCTTCCCCTTCAAGTGAGGCACAACTATGCCATCTTCACATTTAGGTGTAAAGTCTTTTTCCTACTTTTATCTCCTTCTGGAAGAAGTCTTACTTGTAACCTTTCTCGGTAATCTTTTGAAAAGCCTTTATATTGTATATGTTGCTTTAAAATGGTGAGGCTAGGGGAGAGCTGAAAATTTGGCTCAGCAGTTAAAAGGACTGATTCTTCTTGCAGAGGACCAAGGTTGATTTCCTACCACCAACATGACAGCTCACAACAATCTGTAACTCTAAGGATCTGATTTTTTTTTTTGAGACAGGGTTTCTCTGTGTAGTTTTGGTGCCTGTCCTGGATCTCTGTAGACCAGGCTGGCCTTGAACTCACAGAGATCCGCCTGGCTCTGCCTCCCAAGTGCTGGGATTAAAGGCGTGCACCACCACCGCTCAGCAGGATCTGACTTCCTTTATTGGCCTCCATGGGCATCTGCATACACACACAGACAGACAGGCACCACACATAAATGAAAATTAGTTAAGTATAGTGGGACTGAGGCTATAGCCCAGGGGTAGAACTGTTGCTTAGCATGTGCAAGACTCTTAAGTTCAGAAAACCAGCAAACTCGAACCAAAGCTATGACAGAACAATGCCAAGGGACATGAAAAACAGGGGAGTCCAAGAAGTCTTCCATATCTGTAATACTAGTAAGTGTCTCTGTGCCTGCCTCATCTGCCTGACATAGGCATTGTGCAACACACACACACACACACACACACACACACACACACACACACACACACACACGACTTTCTCTGGGGCACGACTTAGTACTTCCATATGTGTATGACCAAAGAGCAGCTACTTCAGATGGCAGAATCCTGATTGCATGGATCCTTTAGGAAGGAGGAGCTGAGCTACCACCACTTAGAACTCCTAGGTAGCCACTGCTGGGGCTGCAAGCCCAGGGGCATGGGTTGTGGTGGGGGGCAAGTGAGGAGGTAGGTCATGTGACATCTGATCATCACCTCAGGAGTTGCTCTGGGCACAAGGGCTTTTGGAATGGCACATGTTTTTCTCTTTGCTTTGTAATGTATATATTTTATAAACTAACTAGAGTGTGTGTGTGTGTGTGTGTGTGTGTGTGTGCGCGCGCGCGCGCATGTGTATGCGCGCACTCACAGGAATCCCCCTCCTTTTGACTCTGTCATAGGCTATGGTGTTTTTACTTAGACTTCAAGTTGCAGGGTGTGGAGGCAAACTATTGCCTTGAAGGAAGAGTGGGTATCATAGAAAGAAATGGCCCGTCAGGTAGGGCTCCTCTTGCCCTCCACCTTCCCCACTCCCCCATTGCACCAGGGACAGGTGCACCACCTCAGGTGCAGACACGCCCTTTAGAAGCCCCACTGTCCACCAAGTTGTGTGTGAACACAAATGACCTAGCTGGTGGACTGTGTGGGATTGTTGCCTGTTGGTTGGTTTTAGCCCCTCCCAGTTTTGCTGGCGTGAGGCAAACGGCATACGTGAGGGTTCGCAGGAGCCTTTATACTCTGCTGCTCACCTGCTCAGGCTACAGGCAGCAGGAGTCATGACCTGGGTTTCCTGCCATTCCTGCAACCCCTTGGCTTCCTGCACTTGCTGGCTGCGTTCCCAACCTTCCTTTCCTCTAGCCCTTCCACTGTTTTGGAAGCACCTGTGTTCAGTCCCTTCCTGAGCGGGCTACCGAAAGTGCTTTCTGTTTCCCTGAGTGAATGTGACAAGAGATAGAAAGGCTGGGCAGTGGTGGCGCACGCCTTTAATCCCAGCACTTGGGAGACAGAAGCAGGCCATCTCTGTGAGTTCAAGGCCAGCCTGGGCTGTTGCACAGAAAAACCCTGTCTTAAAAACCCAAAAAAACCAAACCAAACCAAAACAAAACAAACAGTCTTAGGTATAACCAGAGAGATGTAGACTGCAGGACTTGATACCCCTGTATCAAATGGGCCAAGATTTGATGTTCAAGAAGTCAATGTAGCTGAGCAGTGGTGGTGCACGCCTTTAATCCCAATACTGAGGAGGTAGAGTCAGGTGGATCTCTGAGTTCCAGGCCAGCCTGGTCTACAGAGCGAGACCCAGGACAGGCACCAAAACTACACAGAGAAACCCTGTCTCAAAAAACAAACAAAAAAAAAAAAAAAAAAAAAAAAAGAGAGAGAGAGAGAGAGAGAGAGAGAAAGGAAAACAATATAGATGTGAGAAAATGGGCTCTAACTCGGTGTTTCAGGTCAGACCATCCTGTGTGTCTTTCGTCTTCATATTGTGGTGATCACATGTAGAAAACGGCTTGTCTGCTGCCCTTATACCCACCATCTGCACCCTGTGGAGCAGACGGTACCTGGTTCCCAGTTGAAATGTCAAAGAAATTAAAAGCCTACTTGCAGAAAGGCCAGTGGCTTCAAAGAGGATATGAACAAGCAGACAGATAAAGGCAAG